TGAACGTTTGTTAGAAACTGCTGCTGAATGGATGGGGTTCTGATGCCTTCTGACAGGTGAAGCATCTTTATTCTTGGAGAAACTTGTGTCTCATTTCCACAATACTTCTTAGGCCCTGGGTCTTCAGGATTAAGAAAAGAGCTTGCCAAATTGTCACCAGAGTATAGTATGCACAGTGAAATCCATGAGAGCTGGAACTCAGCAGGGGGTACATGTGGCTTGTTTTTCTGGATCTTGCAAGTTTTCCACCTTTGACAGGGTGCTTACCACTTTCCTATTGCTCACTATTAAGAATCCCACCTCATTTTTTGAGATACCATCTCACCCCAGCAAGGCTAGCATTAATCCAAAAAACACAAAATAATAAATGCTGGAGAGGTTGTGGAGAGACGGGAACACTCTTGGTGGGAATGTAAAATGGTACAACCACTTTGGAAATCAATCTGACACTTCCTTAAAAGGCTAGAAATAAAAGTACCATATGATCCAGCAATCCTGCTCCTTGGAATATATCCTAGAGAAATAAGAGCCGTCACATAAATAGATATATGCACACCCGTGTTCCTTGCAGCACTGTTCACGATAGCAAAAAGATGGAAACAACCTAGGTGCCCATCAATGGACGAATGGATAAACAAATTATGGTATATTCACATAATGGAATGCAATAAAAAAGAGCAACGATGAATCCGTGAAACATAACATGGAGGAATCTGGAAGGCATTATGCTGCGTGAATTTAGTCAGTCCCAAAAGGACAAATATTGTATAAGACCACTATTATTAGAACTCAAGAAAAGGTTTAAACACAGAGGACAACATTCTTTGATGGTTACAAGGGTGGGGAGGGAGGGAGAGGGGTATTCACTAACTAGAAAGTAGACAAGAATTATCTTAGGTGAAGGGAAGGACAGCACGCAGTACAGGGGAAGTCAGCACAACTGGACTAAAACCAAAGCTAAGAAGTTGCCTGAATACAACCAAATACTTAGAGGGACAGTGTAGCAGGGCCGAGGGTCTGGGGATCATGGTTTCAGGGGACATCTAGGTCAATTGGCATAACAAAATTTTTTAAGAAAATGTTCTGCATCCCACTTTCCTAGTGAGCGGCTGTCTAAAATGCATCAGTTGGTTCCAACCACCTGGAGTAAAGGAGAATGAAGAACACCGAAGACACAAGGAAAGTATTAGCCCAAGAGACAGGGCGACATAAACCAGAGACTTCATCATCCTGAGACCAGAAGAACTAGATGGTGCCCAGCTACCACAGTGACCGCCCTGACAGGGAACACAACAGAGAGTCTCTGATGGAGCAGAAGAAAAGTAGGGTGCAGAACTCAAATTCTAGTAAAAAGACCAGGCTTAATGGTTTGATTGAGACTGGAGGGACCCCAGAAGACATGGCCCCCAGACTCTCCATTAGCCCAAAACTAAAACCATTCCTGAGGCCAACTCTTCAGACAAAAATTAGACTGGACTATGGGACATAAAATGATACTTGTGAAGAGTGTGCTTCTTAGCTCAGGTAGATACATGAGACTAAATGGGCAGCTTCTGTCCAGAAGCAAGATGAGAAGGCAGAGAAGGTCAGAAGCTGGTTGAATGGACATGGGAAATCTGGTTTGGAAAGAAAGAGTGTGCTGTCACAGTGCAGGGAGAGAAACTAGGGTCACAAAACATCATATGTATAAATTTTTGTATGAGAGACTAACTTGAATTGTAAATTTTCACTTAAAGCACAACAATAAAAAAAATTTAAAAAAAAAGAACACAGGTTAAAGAAAAAAAAAAGAATCCTACCTCATTTTAGTGCTGAGTTTTCCATCACTGACAGGTTTGCCTCTTATACAGATACCAGCTGTTGAAGATTTTCTGTATTATGTGAAAGAAGGTGCCCTATGATGGAATTTCTAAAGGAGACAAAATTAGCTCTGACTTGTTCCACAGTGTGCACGCTCTAGAGCTTTGGCTTTCTTCTTTCTTTGAAAAGCTGACCTTGCATTGGCTTGACATTTTGCTTTGTGTGTGTGTGTGTGTGTGTGTTTGTGTTTATGTGTTACTTTGTAAAGCCTTTCCTAGTTCCACAAGATCCTATTCTTACTGCCCTAAAGTCTCATGGCTTCTGTATTCCCCTTTTTACTTTTCTGTCTATTTCTCCTACACCACAGCAGTTGATGAACACTCTGCTATAATGAGTTCTTGTTCACTGGAAGTATTTAATCAGAATCAATGACAACTTTTTGAGGATACAAGTCGTGCACTGAGTAGGAGATTGGAGTAGATGATCTCTGAATTTTCTGTCAACTGCATGATTCTATGACTTTTCTATAGCTCCCATGGCCCACTTCAGGATTGTTTCTTCTGATTTGGTGGTTTTCCTTTTCAAATTTCTGGATTCTTAGGTTTCATGAGGCATTTCAAATATTCCTAAACCCAAAACACATTAATTTTAAACACTGGTGAGTCTGTTCAAGCTAAATAAAACATCCATTTTCTTTGCTTTATTTTGGATTATCTGTTTGCTGGTCTGAACTTCGGAGTCACTCATACCTGTGATAATTTTTAAAAATAGTAAAAATTATTTTTAAATTATAGTTGATTTGTCTATCCAAAATTAGGATCTGTGGAAAGAAAATTATAAAATATTTCCTTGCTTGTGAAAAAATTAGGTGTTACCTCTCTACTTTTTCTTTTTGTATTCTTATTATATGTACAGTTTTTTTTAATTTCATCAAGGATCCTTGGTTTCCATGGTAACATTTTGTCCCTGCTCCCTGAGGGTAGGACCTCTCATTGTAATATATGGAGCATTTATCAACTAAACCTGTTGCCCTGTGGTTTCCAAGGAGCGGCTAGTGGTTTCCAACTGCCAACCTTTTGGTTAGCAGCTGAATTCTTAACCACTGTGCCACCAGGGCTCCACGGAGCATATAAACTAAAAAACCAAACCCGTTGCTGTCAAGTCAATTCCAATTCATAGTAGGACAGAGTAGAACTGCTCCTCCGGAGGGTTTCCGAGGCGTGGTTGGTGGATTCGAACTGCCAGCCTTTTGGTTAGCAGCTGAGCTCTTTAACCACTTTGCCACCAGGGCTCCAATAGTATAAGCAAAAACAAACAAAAAACCCTGCTGAATTAAAAGTTGAGCTAGCAACCTTCAAAATATTATGTGTTTCTCTGATTTAGCAATTTCAAAATTGAAAAGAAAACACACCCTGGTAGAAAGGCACTGAACCAAGAGTTAGACAATGTTAGTCCTAACTCTAAGACCATGGAGTACCTGGGTTACCTTGGGTAAATTATTTAACATCTCTCAGTTGGTTGCTAGGTAATCTGTAGAACTTGTTCCATTTATGTATTTTATGATGGGGGAAATAGAATAATAACAGATGGTATATAACCAAGGGCTAAATATTCTGGAAGGGGCCCTGATGGCACAGTGGTTAAGGCCTCCGCTGCTAACCGAAAGGCTGGCGATTCGAATGCTTCTGGGGAGAAAGATGTGGCAGTCTGCTTCCGTAGAGATCACAGCCTTGGAACCCCTATGGGGCAGTTCTGCTGTGTCTTATAGGGTCACTATGAGTTGGAATCGACTCGTCGGCGGTGAGTTTGGTCTGGTCAGACATTCTGGTTCACTTGTTCCATAAATGTTAAATATTTCTATCATATAGACAAAGAGCTGTATAAAGTTACTAATTTTGGACATTTGATTTGCTTCAAACTTGCAGCGTTTTTAAAAACAGTACTGTAATAAACATCCTTTTATATACATTATTGTTGGCTTTTCAAATCGTTTCCCTAGAAGAAATTTCTGGAAGACAAAAGTTATGGACTTTTAAGGGAGGGGGATGCAAGTGACTATAAAGGAGCAGCATGAGGGAGATCTTTGTGGTTATGGAATAGTTCTGCATCTTGATTGTAATGGTGATTTCACTAATCTGCACATGTGGTAAGATGACATGGAACTATACACATTTTACCGATGCCAAATTCCTGGTTTTGATGTTGTACTTTTCTTGTGTTAAGTTGTCACCAGTGGGACAACTGGGTGAAGTGTACATGGGACCACTCTGTTCTATCTTTGCAACTTCTTGTAAGTTTATAATTATTCCAAATTAAAAAAAAAAAAAAAGTCATGCACTTTTAAAAAGCACTGTATTCAGATTGGCAGATTATCCTATAGGGAAGTTGGTGGCTGTTCCTATCACCTCCCTCCCCCAACCCCCTCCTACCCACACCAGTGTGTAAAAACCTCATATACCAGACTGCCACCCAGGCTGGGTACCTTTCATCCTTTGCCAATCTGATAAATGAAGATTGTATCTTATTTATACTTCTTTGATTGACAGTGAGGGAGAACATTGTATCCTACCGCATAGGCCATTTGATTTCCTGTCTAGTGCCCATTTTTCTGTTGGGCTAGTTGTTTTTTCCTTACTGATTTATAAGCACTTGGAAACGTTTATAAGCATTTGTATAAGGAATACATTAATGTGCTGTCCTTTACATATTTTGTAAATTTTTTTCCCCTCAAGGCCGTTTTCCTCCCAGCCTTCCCAAAGAGATCTTAGGAGGTCCATTCTTTGATAAGCTCAAATAATAGTGTTAGGAAGGTCTTTGGAATGTCTTCGTCAACCTCAGGAAGTGAGTTTACTGCAGTGTCTGGGAGGCTGCGTCTGCATCTAAACATTGCCCTCCACTCAGGGAACCAGGCAGTAGTCTTCATGGACCAAAGAGGTCTTGCCTTCACCTTTTCATAAATTCTGTCAGTATTTATATGGGTCCCAGATCCTGATCAGTGATGAGTGCTGAGTGCTCGTGGGGGTGTGTGGAGGCAAGGATGTGGTTTGAATTCTATGGTCCGCATCCCCCACTCAGGCCCCGGAAATCCTTGCTGCCCTGCTATTTGCTAGCACAGGCTTGGACTAGTCCCTGCCAAGGTATCAAAAGGCTGCGGATGTGCACGAGAAACTCAGAAGCATCAAGACCTACAAATGCTAATCATGACTGGACAGTTAAGGGCCTCCTTTCTTTTCCCCCTTCTCCTAGCTGGCTTCGTGCAGCCAGATCCCAAGCCTGAAAAGATGAAGGTGAGTGACCTCCATAGAAGGTGGAGAGGGGCTCAAACCTGGAATTAGAATTACCTTCTGTCCCTCTTCTGGATTTACCCCTCCAGTCATTTTTGTAGGCCTCAGGCTTCTGCTTTCTTCTTCTATTGAAGGTTCTACTAAACCTTCTTTTCTCCTTAAACCTTCTTTACATCTATAAATGAGTGTTTGTTTAAATTTTTTTTTTGTACTTTAAGTGAAGGTTTACAATTCAAGTTAGTCTGTCATACAAAAATTTATACATACATTGTGATGTGACCCTAATTGCTCTCCCTATACTGTGACAGCACATTCCTCCTTTCCACCCCTAATTTCCTGTGCCCATTCGATAAATGGATGTTTCTTGAGCTGAATATGGCTAGGGGAAAAAGTTTCCTTACTGTAGTTCTTTCTCCCTTCTTTCCCCACGTGCAGGCCCACTGGCTACCATGCTAGCCACATCAGTGTCTGAGTCAGAGCTGGGTCTGAAGAACTGGGCAGTGATGGGCGTCAAAGAGGGGTGGAGCCAGGGTTTGGAGGAGAGGTGAGCTCTGCCATCTCATAGAGCTGCTCAGTGGGAAACCCATCAAAAAAGAGAATGAAGCTAATCTGCAGGGTTTTTTAGGGATGGAGAAAGAGAGTTACCACAGAAGCATAAAACACATGGGGGGAAAAACATAACCAGACGCCGAAAACAGCTGGATTTGGAGTCAAGAGGCTTGGATTCTGGCCTCAGTTCTATTCCCAATTGGGACTCGGGTGACTTATTTTAAAAACACGAGTGTATGGTAATGGAAAGAAGGTGCAGGGAAGGACAGCAATGCACTTGATGACTCAGAGGCAAAAAGAGTGATGAAATTAGGGCCAGGCAAACTTTCATTCACATAGGGGGTTATCACTTTTGGCCTTGGACTTCATCTCTGTTAGAGTCTGCTTTCTCTTTTTAAATTTGTGGTTAACAGACTCTGCATTATGGGTTTGTGAGCAACAATGATTATACATGTAACGTTTTCTATAAAAGGCAGCTCTGGCAAGGTTCACCCCCAGAAGTTGACTAGATGGTCTCCAAAGTGACTTTCTGTTTTTGAGAATTGATGTGGCTTTTATGTTACCCAGCGCTGCTTAGATGGATGTGGAGACAGTGGGCTGTAGCATTCACTTAATCAAAAGCATAAAAGGCAGCTTGCTTTTCTCCTTAGCCCCACCTACTTCCAGGTCCCCTCACCCAGCTCATTAATCTCTGCGTTTTTCCATTCCTCCATGCATTTCCTGGAATAGTAGGAAGAGAGACTTGACTTGCTTTTTGCTTAAAAAAACCATTGGATTTCAAGTCAGAAGCCTAAGTTTCAGTCCTGTCATTGACACCTTAGACAATTCTTGTTTTCTGGGTCTCAGTTAATACATGTATTAGTCTTTGATTCCTTTGAAAGATTACATAGATGTTAAGAATTGTTGGTACTAATATTATAATTTTTTAAAAATTTTCCAGATGAATTGCTATAAAGATGTGAAAGGCACCATCTATGATTATAGCGCCCTCACTCTTAATGGAAGGGAACACATCCGTTTCAAGAAGTATGTAGGCAAGCATGTCCTCTTTGTCAACGTGGCCACCTATTGTGGCCTGACAGCTCAATATCCTGGTAAGAATTCATACCCAAATCTCCTGGGACTAGATTTGCCATCAGATTATATTCTAAATCAGACTTACATTCTTATTCTAATTCTGTATTAAAATAGATACACCTGATCATGTGACTTCATCGCCATATGTTAAACCAAAAACACCAAACCTATTGCTGTCGAGCTGATTCCGACTCATAGTGACCCTATAGGACAGAGTAGAACTGCCCCATAGGGTTTCCACAGAGCTGCTGGTGGATTCGAACTGCTGACCTTTTGGTTAGCAGCCATAGCACTTAATCACTGTGCTACCAGGACCTCCCCACCTCCATGTTAGGAGTCAGCAAACTTTTGCCCATAGGCCAAATCTGGCCTTCCTATTTGTATAAACAAAGTTTTTTTTTGGAACACAGCCATGCCCATTTGTTTACATATTGTCTATGGTTACTTTTACACTACTAGGCAGAATTGAATAGTTACAAGAGAGACAGTGAAAGTAGTCGTGACAGAGACCATAAAAAAAAATTGCTATTAAGTCTGTTCCAATTCATGGTGACCCTATGTGTGTCAGAGTAGAGCTGTGATCCATAGAGTTTTCAGTGGCTGATTTTTTGGAAGTAGATCGCCAGGTCTTTCTTCTGAGGTGCCTCTGGTTGGACTCAAATGTCCAACCATATGGCTCTCAAAATCTAAATTATTTACTATCTGGCCCTTTACAGAAAGTTTGCTGACCCCTGCCATGCTCTGCTCCCAAGAAAAAGGTACTAAAACCTACATAGAGAAAACGTCTTTCTTACCAAAAATAGAAAATGAATAGTCACAACCTGGTGTGCTGGTAATAGATCAGTGGGTTTATAATATTGGAGAGGTTTTTTGTTTGTTTGTTTTTCATCATCTTTTGTATCACTTTTTTTTTTTTGTTGGCATTACTCCTTCTCTGGGAGGGGCCAGAGGGTGTTGGACTAAGATCCTTTCTCGTCCCATTGCATTTTTAGGGAGTCTAGTTTAATCTTAGTTTAAGTCTGGAGCTTCCTTATCAGATATTGTCTGATCAACTTATATCTGAGAACTAAGAGCTCTCAGAAGATTCCAGAAGTCTCCTGGTAAAAACAGGAGAGAGTATCAGTGCTTTTGAGACTTTTCCAGGATTATACAGGTACCTTAGATGACAGGGAAAAGGGAACTGAGGTTTTATACTCAGGGTTGCATTAGATTAGACTGAGGGCTGGTTGAGGAGGCTATAAAAGAGGCAAATACTTCCTCTCCAATCTCAACTACTTCTTCAGGTGTAGTTTTCTCCCTATCTATACATTATTCAGGAAATTATGTTATCTTCCTGATGTTCCAGGCCAGGTAGTTTAAGGATCACTGAATAAGGAACAGAATGGATTACACCAGAGACAGATGCATTTTTTATATTTAATAAGAGCTTCATTTTCTGTTTTTAATTATGTTGTTTTGTGTAGGTGATATAGTCACAAGGCTCAAAATTAAAAAGGAATAAAAACATTTAGTGTGAGAAGTCGCCTTTCTTCCCTCCCTTCAGACAACCAATATTATGTTTACAGAATAGATAGTTTTTTCTGTTTTTCCCCCAGTTGTCAACATACTATAAATACTATTTGTCGCTTTACTTTTTTAAATTAAGAAAGCACTTTGGAGTTCAGTCCATTTCCTCATTCTTTTTTTAAGACTGAATAATCCCATTGGACCATAATTTATTTTACCAGTTTATAGGGACTTTAAAAATCAACTTATTCAGTCATATAATTGGAATCATACAGTATGTAGCCTTTTCAGATTGGCTTCTTTCACTTAGCAATGTGTATCTAAGATTCAACCATGTCTTTTTGTGGTTTGTTAGCTCATGTAATTGTTGAATTCGCTTGTGGGGGATGTACCACAATTTTTGATCTGTTGACTATCTTGGTTGCTTCCAATTTTTGACAATTATGAGTAAAGAGGTTATAAATTTTTTTTTAAATCAACTTTTTCAGTTCCCCTTTCACACATAACAGATGAGGAAACTGAGGAATAGTTGCCCAAGGACTGGAAGACAGGCTTCCTAATTTCTAGTTTCTTTCCTAGTGGACGTGATTATCCACGGTGGCTGAAAACAAGAGGAAGGGGTGTAGGGAGAGGGACTGAGCAACCATATGGAAACAGGAAATCAATCTCTATTTTTAAAATAAAAGAGACCAAGAGGAGACACCAGTTGGCTGAACTGAATCTCAGTGGAATTGTCTGGTGTTTGTCAGGAAACTAAAGGCATCTAGCCCAGAAAAGGCTACAAAGAAGACGATTGTAAAAGTCTGAGCAGACAAGTTGGAAAACTTTCTGGCAGTGGATGAAAGCAGTTGGAAGTTTGCATTTTAGACTATCAATGAGGATTTTTGGAGAGTTAACATCCTGAGGATTGTTGAAGAACACCAGGAAGCTTGACTTAGATTTCTCTGGCTCTCTCTGCCTCTGTCAGGTTTGTCCCACTCCACTTGGGGTGAGCTAGCCTGTTCAGGGGAGACAGAGGCTCAGTACTCATTGTCCTTGTCTTTTCCTTTAAACAAGAATGATTCAACTCACCACTTAACCAATTAGGGAAAGCAGATTAATGATGTTCAAACCTGGCCTTGCTTAAAAATCGCCTGGTGAGCTTTTGAATTGTAAAGATGACTGGGCTCCATCTCAGAGAAATGGAATCAGGAAAACCTCTGGGATGGGACCTGGGCACTCCTGTTTTTAAGGAAGGGCCCCCAGCTGATTCTGATGTACTGCAGATTTGGGAAATACTATACTATAAGAAAGGGCATTTGGAAGCACGTCTGGAGATGCGAGATCTAGCTTCAGCTTTGCCATTAACAGTCTCTCTGATCTAGAGATTTTTTTCCTCCCTGGACCTCTGTTTCCTCATCTGGAAAACAGGTAACTCCAGAGATCTCTCTCTGTGCAAGGCAGGGTCTCATGTTGTCCATTTTCTACCTGCAGAACTAAATGCACTTCAGGAGGAACTGAAGCCCTTTGGCCTGGTTGTATTAGGCTTTCCCTGCAACCAGTTTGGAAAGCAAGAACCAGGAGAGAACTCAGAGATTCTTCCTGGACTCCAGTGAGTGCCTGCTTGAAAGCCTATAGGAGGCACCTGTCTACTTTTTCCTGTCTCCACGGAGTTCCTTCCATGTTGGGAACTTCCAGGGTGGGGTGGGGTGGGGTGAAGTGGTGGTGATGGTAGATCAGTAAGCTCAGGGCATCCACAAGCTAATATTAACTTTGGTCTACCTTAATGAGAATCTAGCAGTGTTCAGGGACTATCTCTCCAGCCCTGGGTAATGAGGCCTGCATGGAGCCATGGAGGGGCAGGAGCACAGAAATAACTGGTACAGAAATGATGGGTGGGGCAAGGACAGGGAGTGGAATAGAGAAAAAGTGAATTATAGAACTCAAAGTAAACATATGGTCGGTCATATTTTCCCTCCCCACTCCCATCCCCATCTACTATATATCCACTTTTTCCAGCCCTTTCCTATGACCTCAAATAGTGGTCTCCCATTATAAATTTCTCATATTCTGGAGCTTCCTGGGAACATTATGCCTCTTTGTAGGTATGTCCGTCCAGGGAATGGATATATACCTAATTTCCAGCTTTTTGAAAAAGGGGATGTGAATGGTGAAAAAGAACAGAAAATCTTCACCTTCTTGAAGGTGAGTGAATTACTGACATAAGCCCCCTCTTCCTTCCTTAATATTCCTAGCATTGGGTTGGTGTGGTAGAAATGGATGCAAGGGCTCATTCCTGAAGGTGGGATTGGATGCTTTGGAGAAGAGCTTCAGATCAGCATAGGGATTTGGGTTTCATTTGTTAGTATTTTTGGGGCTCTGGCTTCATGTGGTGGAGAGAGTTATGTAGAGTGGCAGCTTTTACTGTGATCAACCTCTCTTGCTTATTAACATTCATTAATTCATCTTGCTCATTGACATTCATTAATTCATTAAATATACATTTATTGAGTGCCTGCTGTCTACAAGGCAGTTTGCTAAACAATAAGAATAAAAATACAAATAGGACATAGTTCATACCCTTGGCAAGTTCATACTGGAAAGGGAGACATAGAAATCAACAGGTATAATACAATGTAGTAAGTACTTTTTATGAAACATCAACTTTTAAATATAGAAAATGCCAGAGCTGAAAAGACCCCAAAAGATCCTCAAAGTGAATTGTTCCTAAATGCTGAAGTCTAGTAGGCCAAGACTGATTCATGCTGAGATTTTCATAAATCCTCTTTAAATTGAGGAAAACAGGACAGTGTAAGGAGAGTTTCAGAAACTCAACTTGTTTAACTTATAGGACTGCCTTTTATTCTAAGATTATGACCCAATGACCCACACACAATTCATTTTTACAATGATTTTTTTTAACTAAATGAAGAAATGATGCTTTTAAATTTTTTTCTTATTTGACAAAAAAAATGTTGGTAACTCTATGTTGGTTCCAAAAGATATATTTATTGAAATGCTACTACTGGCCCATGGAGCCCCAGGACCTGGGAAACCACATTCAAATCCAAGCTCTTCATTTTTCAAATAAGGAAACAAAAAGTGGGAATATGGCTGACATAGCTTACCGATAGCACCATGTGATGGGGGCAGGGAGAGAAACAGAGAGAGGGAATAGACTTTTGCTATAGTATCTACTGTGGAATTCTTGTTTATTGAAATAGTGTTGCTTCAGAGAATTTGTGGGGTTTATTAGGAAATTAAATTATCTAGGGATAGGAGGGGGTGGATTATCTGTGGATGAGAATAGCCTGGATGACCCAGGAATAGAAATGATCTTGTAATGTTTCTTTTTCCATTTCTTTACTTTAGCACTCCTGTCCTCACCCCTCTGACATTTTGGGTTCATCCAGATACATCTTCTGGGAACCCATGAAGGTCCATGACATACGCTGGAACTTTGAGAAATTCCTGGTGGGACCTGATGGAGTCCCTGTCATGCGCTGGTACCACCGGGCTCCAGTCAGCACAGTCAAGGCAGACATCCTGGAGTACCTGAAGCAACTGAAAACTAAATAGGAACTCCCAGAATTGGGGAAAGGATCCATCCTACTTCTCGCCTAAAGATCTGTTCGAGAAACATCCATTTTCCCACCATACTGTCTCCCTAAATGGCCTCCACTTGACTAAATTGACTCTATACTGTCAATGTTTCCAATCTGCACCGAGTAGATTTATATTCTGATGATTATTGCTATTTCTTCATGCAAGAGTATATAGGTGAAGAAAAAAGAGAATGGAAACCCTGAATCCTCAGACCTCTGCTAGAAATTTAAAAATTTATGTCCATTAAAGAAAATTATCCTTCCATGAGGATGGTTCAGATTGCCTCAATATCATGAAAAGGGATGTCCCTAGACACTGACTCCCCCTTCTTTCTCTACCCACAAGATGTAGGAATAGCAATGAGATGACAGTCACACTGTTTAAATTCTGCATCATAAAGTTTTTTCTCCTCTAGGACAAAGATACATTGTCAGTTTCCAACCCATGTTAGTTTAGTCTTCATCCATGGAGCCCCTTCCCCTACAATACCTGTCATTCTCCTGTAGGAAGCCTAAATTACAGTGGGAACAGGAACCTCCCCTCGTACAAAGGGAAGGGCATCTCCATGATAGCAGGACCCATAGCCTCTCTCTGGATTGGACCTCACAAAAGCTTTCTTTAGCATCTAAGCCTTAGTGCATTCAGGTCATGATACCTGAGCAGAAATGCCCTCTGCCTTTTGAAGGATGAGCTTTCCCTCTCAACTCTAGGCTACTCAGCTTCAGAACCAGTCTTGCCACTATCTACAATAAAATGTTTTCTGCAGCATCTAGAATCACTGTTGTGGTTTTTAAATCCTATCCTGTGCTCAAACTCATCTACCTCCTCTTTCTCACTCTGACTATCATAGATGCTGTATTATCCAGATAACAACCTCCCACCTTCAGGACTGAAGGAACACTGAACATTTTGAATATTAATAATGTGGCAACTCTATAAATCAGATTCCTCCACCCACCCACCCCCAAGCAGGGTTTGTTGTTGCTGCTTGTTGGTTTTTGTTGTTTGGTCAGTGACTTTTCCAAACTATTTTTGTAAAGTCTGGATTCTTTGTCATGTGTGGTCACTGAAGTCGCTGTTCTGTTAGCTTAGTGGTCTGCTAGTGATTTGACAGTGATTTCCTTAAACAATTGGAGTTAAAAAATAGGAAAAAGAAAAAAAAATACTCTCCCAGCCTTTGCGTATTGGCTGTGTTTTGGGGCACTCATTCAATGCTTAGCCATCCTGTTTACAACTCTTCCTTAGCCTTCACTTCCTGCTTGCAGTTTGAAGGTAGGTCAGAGGTGAAAGCTTAGGGTCTTTTCAGGCCTTTTCTGAACATGTGTCCAACTCTAGACATATGCATGAACTTCACAATTCCTGGCATATGTGGGAAAATTTAAAAGCTCTTATTCCTTCACATATCTGCTTTTCCAACCTCTTGCCTTCCCAGGCTCATCAGTCTATTGCTTGTCCTGACTTTATCCCTGTTCCAGGCTACTGAAGCCAATGCTTTTGCCTTTAAATGCTTTCACCAAGCACTTGCCCCGGGCAGCCACCCCAGTGCTGGGAATGCTCTTGAGTTCATCTAAACAAAGAGAAGTCCTTGTGCTGGCCTTTCAGGAAGTTATCTTAGAAAATTAGATCTTTATTGCTTCCTCTGGCATTAGTAACCTGCACCCAGAGTGCAGGCTGCTATCTTCATGGCTTCCACCAGTCTGGAGCTGGGGTGGGGATAACAATTGAGAAGTTTAAAATGCCACAGCGTTCTCTTACCACGATACAGCACCTTCTTTCTTCATTAAGCTTTCCCTTGGTTGTTGTAAGTTTTTACTTTGTAAAAAACTTAGTTTTTATTTGCTTTGTGAAAGTTCATTCTGACAATTTTTGCCAGGTTATCAGTTGCTTTTGTGGAGGGATGGAGCCCTGAAGTTCCCTACTCTGCCATTTTCAGTGATGTCACTCTTGGTATATATATTATTCTTGAAATTTGAACACCGTATACACACGTGCGTGTGCACACACACACACAACACACACACACACACTCACGCACAGTGTCTGGTTCTATGAATGATCAGAAGTCCTTAGGTGGTGAAAATGATTAAGCACTCAACTACAAGCCAAAATATTGGTGATTCAAACCCACCCAGCAGCACCTCGGGAGACAGGCCTGGTGATCTGCTTCTGAAAGTTCACAGCCTTGAAAACCCTGTGGAGCTCAGTTCTACTCTGTACCCATGGGGTCATTATGAGTTGTAATCAACTTGAGGGTGACTAACAACAACATAGATGACCGTGTGTCTTAGTTATCTAGTGCTGCTATAACAGAAATACCACAAGTGGATGGCTTTAACAAAGAGAAATTTATTTCCTCACAGTAAAGTAGGCTAGAAGTCCAAATTCAGGGCATCAGCTCCAGGGGATGGCTTTCTGTCTCTGTTGGCTCTGGAGGAAAGTCCTTCTCATCAGTCTTCCCCTGGACTAGGAGCTTCTCTGCGCAAGGAACCCTGGGTCCAAAGGACTCATTCTGCTCCTGACACTGCTGTCTTTGTGGTAAGAGGTCCCCCGTTTCTCTGCTCACTTCTCTCTTTTATATCCCAAAAGAAATTGGCTCAAGACACAATCCAATCTTGTAGATTGGGTCCTGCCTCATTAACATAGCTGACCCCTATCCCCGCTCACTAACATCATAAAGGCAGTACTTACAACACACTGGAAAATCACATCAGATGACAAGACGGTGAACAATCACACAATACTGGGAATCATGGCCTAGACAAACTGATACACATATTTTTGGGGGACACAATTCAGTCCATGACATGATGTTTTTCTTGTGGTGCCAACTCAATCACTAGCATTGTGGTTAAAACACAGGACCTGTAGTCAACTGACTGAATTCAAATCCTGGTACTGCAAACTACAAATTTCATTACTTAGATAGGTTAGTAATTTCTCTGTGCCTCAGTTCCTCATCACTAGAAGGGGTATAGTAATAGTGCCTAAATCATAACATTTGTAGGAATGCTAAATAAGGAACTGCATGAACTATGCCTAACTCATAGTTTTGTCCTCCAGAAAATGAGAATAACTTTGAACACTTACCCTACATAGTGTTTAATGAGCAGATGAAGTTATGCCTATGAAAGTTCTTTGAAAATTACAAAATGGAAAGGTTGTGGCCAAGAGATTTTAACACCAGGCATGGAGCTGGGAATGTATGGAAGAGGCACACAATCATTTTCCACTGATTTAGAAGATAATATTGGAATCATTATCCCCTGTCCGTGAACAGAGAGACTGTGACCCAGCGGGAGATGGGCTCACAAGGGCTCACAAGGACTCACAAGGACACATCAGCTGGGCCCTGAGGTGTAACGATAGCTAAAATAATCTTGGAAAATATCTTTTAGGGAAACTTTCACATAAAGCCAATCAAACAGAACACAAAAGACTGTCCACTATTATTTTTTTCTATTAACTTTTAGTGAATAGAAAATTGTTGGACCAATGAAGACCCTCCAAACCTGTACCAATGATTGTTAAGAAAGACAATTCAAAATGTAGGATCACAGTTTCTAGCCAATCTGTGAAAAGGTGAAGCTTTCAATTGTTTTGCCCATTTGTAATGTTAATATATACTGATGAGTCTAATGTTCTTTGGACTCAGGCGGACATGGCTGTGGCAGCATGCTTGTCCATTTTCCTACTCTTACTTATTCTGTAATCCTCTGATTCAGGCAGACATGGCTGTAGCAGCATGCTTGTCCATTTTCCCACTTGTGCTTACTCTGTAATGTTCTCTGGATTTGGGCAGACATTAGCTCTGGCAGCATGCTTGTCTGCTTCCCACTTTTGCCCTTTTGAGTATATAAAACTTTCTTTTTGCTTTACTACACTTTGTGATGTTTTTCCCCTACACCACCACTGAGTGAAGACTAAACAAGTTCTGCTCTGGGGATATAAAAGGAGGCAGCAGAGCAGCTTAAGGGAA